ATTATATGTTTATTAGTTTTCGGGTTAGATTGCAATTCACCGGTCTGCTTTTGAGCCAAGCGGACTATAATGTGGACATCGTGAGGGTCAGTGAGTGAATAGGGTATTACGCCGCTTTTAGCAATATTTCAGCAGCATCATGGCAACTGACACCCGAATTGGGCTTCATACACTGTATCCATATGTGGAATCGAACCTGGTTCTTCGATGTAACGCTTTAACCACAAATGCTACCCTACCGCCCCGGTACATCGTGAGAAGTTATAAGTAACCACTGAGTTGAATACTGTGATGAACCGCCTCATCATTCAGTTGTCAATGCATATAAAGAGGAAACTAGGTATGGTGACACCTCCAGTACAGAGCCTCACAATTTTCATGCACAGATTTCATAGACACAACATTCACGTTTTCATGGCCTCATTTACAATTATGTATATTTCCTCCTTTCAGTCTGATAACACCAATTTCCACATAAAATGGTGGACAATGTGTTCAGGTGTTAATTCCTTTTGAGCCAACCAACGATGCTTCCTCGGGTTGGTTTTGACATTGACTGTTGGCAAATCAGTCAACTGCGTTGTGTTTTTGTTATGAACTCTTTGTTGAAACAATCCAGACCGGGATTTCACCTGGACCACACCGTGGTCCGGTCTAGCTAAGATATATTTGGCGGTCGCGCAATTTGGAACCAGAACTGTACTTATTAAACACTCCAATTCTATCTTGGGATAGGTCTGGTATTGCCTCGTGTACATAAAGAGAAAATATTTACACGTGAAACTTGGGAGCGAAAAACTTTTATGGAATTCAGAATTCCAAAACTACAAAAGACTGTCGAAATTATATGCATATCTTTGTAATGCATATTTGAAGAAGACAAAGGAACAGGCGATACAATCTAATGCAGCAAAAATTGTGCTGAATTCAGTCTGTTGAAATATACTAAAGTTAAGTTTCACTTATTTGAACTTTCATTTGGATGACTGCTGTCCAAATGGAACGAGTCTCTTTGACAGTGTATTTATTTCGTTTGATTATGACGCGTTGATGCAATAACCAGTAACAGGTGTATATGCAGCAAGATGTATTTCAAAGACTCTTAGATTTGATCACATCACACCTGCTCTCAAAACCTTGCACTGGCATCACGTCTCCTCTAGTAGTATCTTCAAGATGCAAGCGGTACCCATGACTGTCTCAACAATAATTACCCTGTATATCTTAAAGACTTCATGTATACTCCAGATCTTGCACTACCTCAGTGCAGCCCTACTTAAGCAGCTTCTGTCTACTTCGATGTCTGACAGCATTACCCAACTACTTGTGTGATTTTAATCATGACTAAATGTGAGCACAATTTAAAGGTTCATGCAGGTAGCAAAAGAACTGTAAGTCCCCATGGTCCATAGAATGAGGACCTACCTTCAGTTGCCGGCGGTCTACAGCCCCTATTTTAATGGTGTTAACTGTAATATGTAATCTTTGTGTTAAATAGAATATTGTAATATTTGGAATGGTTACTGGATATAAATTCTGATATCTTGCTAATATTGCGATGTCTTTACAGATACATGTACATCATATATTTAACATAACTCTCCTCGTCACTATGAAATGGCCGAGGTGAAGTTTAACTCATTCACTCACTTAAGCACCAGACTTTCAGGAATGTGTTTACACGTGTGCTTAGACCTGGTTTTAACTTTGACAATTTAATGAGTTCATTGAACTTAACAAAACTGTCAAGGTCATGCTTGTTGGCCTAGATACGTCTCTATTGTAAGGCTGTATTTTAAAATTCCAAAGAATTACATAAATATCATTTTCAGAGTCTATCATTCTGAGTTTAAACCACATGCAAGACAAAAAACGGTAATAAAATGATCGAGCCATGCCATGATGTTGTTTAAGATAATGTATTTGTTTAATCTACATTTCATGTTCATTTTACATTTTGGCATGTCTGGTCCAGACTCGGTTATTTACAGATCACCGCCATATAGCTGGATTGTTGTTCGATGTGGCTTTAAAACAACAAACAAATACATTTGGATGCAGAATTACAGATTTGTTGTTTCTAGGGTGAAGTGACTAAGTCTTAGCAGCAAACAAGAAGCTTTCTGCATTGCTTTTTTTCTTTTCAGGCCAAGTATCGATTCTGCACAATGCACAGTGAAATTCAGTCATAAAGACTTAGATTTTCCACCTTGATCAAAATACAACTTCCAAATTTAATGGGTGATGGGATCTTTTGTCTGAATTAATTCTTCAGCAAAGGTGTCAATACATTGAATGTTATGTTTTGGACAATCATCAAAAGCAGAGTATTCAAGGATCTGGACTCCAGATGTTCTTAAAGGAGAATCCGAACGAAAACGAAACTTTGGATATATTGTAAAGGATATTTTAAAAGTCACCTTCCGTGATTAAAACTGAACAAAAAGTTTGTAAAATAGCAATAAAAACACAAAACACGTACTCGTTGTTCCGCCTTTTACGGAAACACCCGACTGTTAATGAGCAGAGGGGGGCATGAAGTGACATGACGACATATGTGCCTGTTGCTGATGGCTGCCTCTTTGATTTTACTTCACAACTTAACAGTGTCCGTGGATTCTGAAGCAGTAAAAGGTGTTCCTGATATCATTTCTGAAATGGATGTTAGACCGTATCAATACAATCCGATTTTACATGTTGCAAGACAATATTCCAGTAAAGATGAAGAAGAAGAATCAAGCGAAATCGAGGCACCGCTTGAGTTCAAAATAAATTCAAAAATATACCATATCATTTAACAAGAATACTATTTGACAGCAAAATGTGATACAGTTCTAACCAGCAAACCCAGCCCTATAAGTATATGACCAGTCCCTAAGAATTATATTTTTTGCAATGTGAGCAGTTCTTTTTGTCTCAAATGGGTGACTGTAGGGTGTCTGGGATTTAAAAACACAATATTATGCTTCAGACGGGGAAAAATAGAAATTATCTGCTTCAAATTACACCGGAGTTATTTTGTTGAAAAAAAAATAGGATCCTAGTTCTCATTAATAACGTAGCAAGTCTCCACACAAAATCCAAGCCTGGTCGAGCAGAGATAATATTCGCGACGCAGATAAGTTATTCCCCGAAAACTGGTGAATCATATAATACTTGTCAGGAAAATGTATGTTTCCCCAGTGTTTGGTTATGGAAATAGTACTCGGCCATAGCCTTAGAATGGCATCTTGTCAGCCAATGTGAACACAGAACAACTTTCACGGCACACACTACTGACACATAGCTAGTCTGATGCCGACGTGCGTAATTGGACAATATGGAAAACAATGAAAGCAACAAGTACTTCATGATGTGCCGTTGTATTCGGCAATGTTTCGGGTAGTCTGCAGCATTTAGGGCTCCAAATCGAATAGAACGTCATAGCGAAACATTTTCAAGCTCATGTGAAATCTCTTACTGATTTTGATATCTATCTCGTGGGTACCAGTGGAACTGCCCCAGCTACAAAATGGCCCAGCAAATTTGGTCAATCATTCTAATTTGGTCAAATTTATTTAAAATGATTAAATATATGCCGTATATGCATAGTTTTTGTCAACTTTGATATTATGTTCTTCATATAAAAGTTATTAAGAAGTAATATTTCTGATAAATGTTCCATCAGTAAACTCATAACTATGTATATACTTTTATATGAAGAACATAATATCAAGGTTGACAAAACTATGCATTTATGGCCTATATTTAATCATTTTAAATAAATTGGGGCATTTTAACTACCCCCCTGGGGCAATTTGACCAAACTCCGGGGCAATTTGACCAAATTTGCTGGGGCAATTTGCAGCGGGGGCAATTCGACTGGCAATCGTACTTGATATAAATTATGTTAAAAATACTACTGACAGTATAAGCTGTAACAGGGTATGATGGAGTATAAATGAATCTGGTGGGTAATTCTTCTTTCTTCAGCCTAGCTTTGGAATTTGTATGCCCCATGTGTGCTTGTCTCTTTCATATGCGTCCCACTCGGAATGATCGGACCATTTCTCCTGCCTAAGTCTCTCCCTTTACTTGGAAAACGGAAGAAATTGTGGCTTTCCATTGTTCGACGATTCCGTGCATCCCAAGGCAACGCAATACACCATTGTACCATTTACAAAAACGACAGAAACAACACGATTTGTACTACTGTAGCGCTTGGTCTTTGGCAATATGGCGGAATCCAGGCACATTTGACGTCACGAGCGGAAAGGTCACGTGGGTTCCAGCGAAATATGTATAATGGCCGAAGCTGAGATTTACAGAAACTGTTTTCGCGATTAAAACATAATTATACATGTTTTAATTGAAAATTTGGGAATATGTTTCTGATGACTTTCATCCATCAAATTATTGCAATTCACTCGTATTCTCCTTTAAGCCTACATTTGTATTTGCCCGTTTTGTTCCCCTTATATGGTCATGCCGGGATGGTCAAAGACTCCTCATTCAAGGACATTGACTGGTCCTGCCTCTTCTGCCATGCCTAGTGTCAGGTAAAGGTTGGTTGGTTGTTGTTTAACGCTGCACTCAGCAGTATACCACCTATATGGCGGCGGTCTGTAAATAATCAATATAGCTGAAATATATACTTTTCTCTAATAGTATGTTTTAGATATTTGTTATACTTTATTTGACGCCCGTGAAGGTCCGGGTTATAATGAACCTTCAGTAACCCATGCTTGTCGTAAGAGGCGACTAACGGGATCGGGTGGTCAGGCTCGCTGGCTTGGTTGACACATGTCATCGGTTCCCAATTGCGCAGATCGATGCTCATGCTGTTGATCACTGGATTGTCTGGTCCAGACTCGATTATTTACAGACCGCCGCCATATAGCTGGAATATTGCTGAGTGCAGCGTAAAACTAAGCTCACTCACTCACTCTAAACATGTCAAAAACACGCTCAAATATTATTTTACTTTCTAATCTTATTTCAAAAAAATTGCAGAAGAGAAACACAATACAAATGGAATTTATTAGCAAATAAACACAACTATGATCAATAATTTATTATGAAATTGTACTTGGCTTTTCGTTTAGAGGTTCCTCTATTTCTACCGTTGGATCTCCCTCGACTGTGTAGGATGAGTGATGCTTGCTCAGGACTTTCTTCACAAGCCACACCAACATTAGGAAACTGAGGAACAACAGAACACTCTCGATGGTCAGGATATAATTGTACCAGAGAGGACTGGATACTTGCATCAGGTGACCAATGATCTGAGGATTGACCATTCCACCCAGACCTACAGCTATAAAGATGACGGACATGATTTTACCTGAGAGTTGCACAAAGTCCTTCTCAATCCAGGTCAGCATCGCAGGAAAGCTAATCGATATTGAAAAGCCCACAGCACAAGCTGTGATCCACATGAATACCTTTGAGAGGTACATTCCAGCAAATATCATTCCAACCTGAGCGAGGATTAGAAAGGAAAAGAACACACCACAGATCTTTACATGCGATACATAGCCGATGAAGACGATGGCAGCTAGACGACCAAAGGCGTATGCTGCCCAAAACGCCGATGTGATTCTGGCTCCCGTGACCTTAGTCCAATTGAACTGCATTACCACATATGATGTCAGGAAAGACACCGACGAGTCTTCAACTTCGTCCAAGAAGAAATAGAATATACCTAGAAGGCCAAGTGTTAGGACGAGTAATTTCCGGGACAACATTTTACCTTGTCTCTTTCCTTCTAAAGCCTTAGTAGCGTCCTTATGCTTTTCCTGTCTTGCAAATAGAAACACTATTAAGAACGGTAAAGACGACAGGATGGTTAACAGCCCAGTCATCAAAAAAGGGCCAAATGATTCTTGTCTGTAGATGATGATCCGATGATGCATTTACATACTCCTGTACCTCGTATGAACTGTTTTGGGTTTCCATGACAGAAGACCGTGTTGCGTTATTATCGCCATATTTTCTGACGGCTAAAAACGGTTCAAGGACAAAAGGGGAGATAATTCCCCCCTAACGACCATAAGAAATGTAAAGCCTGCATGTAAGGTTTGCTCTCCACTCCCCACACACGAACAAGTTCCACATTACAGCCTGCAAACATAAGTTTATATGTATTAATGCATGTATATATTTATCTATACACACAAAGAACTTAGTTAAGCACCCCCTGACATATCTCATGGTTGAATGAGCCCGGATCTTAACCCTTTAGAGCATATCTGGGACATGATTGGTCGTCGTGTGCAAACAAGGGGTCCTCCTGTACAGAACCTGGCCCAACTGGAAGCTGCTTTACACGAGGAATGGCGTAGACTGCCCCTTCAGAGGAGGCATGCAGACAGGGGTATGAGGAGGAGAGTGCTGACTGTCATACAGTAACATGAAGGTTGCCCTCGGTGTAAGAAGGTGTAAGACCAGCAAAATCACATTTTGAATGCTCAGATTCACCAAAAGATTCACCATTAAACAGTCCAGGGTCATACTTGTACAGACGCGGTTTTGTATGAAAATCAGTGGGATTTTTCAAAATGAGCAATTATCATAATATCAACATAGATTCCAATTATTTTGTCGTTTGTTCATGAGTCAAAGGATCATAGGGGTCAGAAGAACCGATATTTATCCATCGTGGTCAGCATGAAAAGTTGTATGTACGTGTTGAAAACCTGTCATTGAAAAAATACAGGAGGTGTTTAATTAAGTTCTTTGTGGATAGTAGATATCTGCATTTTATAAATGTGTTATAATCAAGATAAAATAAGGAATTGGAGTCATTGCTCATTACAAAATTCAAAAACCGCCATCAAATCAAATATATTTTTAAAAAGTAAAATAAATCCAAATATATGCAACGTTGAATATAATAACTGCACACATTGTGTTTGTTGGTTTGCTGTCTATTCGTTGGTTGACACTATGATATATACGATGCTGGAGATGTCCCACAAGAAACCAACTCAAAGAAGAGGAGTAAAAGTAGCTCTACCAAAAGTGAAACAATCGTTTAGGACAAAGGTAAAAGTATTCGTAGAAATGCAAAGAACCCATTGAACCTGAGACCACTTAACCATCTGATCCCGAAAACACGGAACCATCTAGTCCGGAGTCTCTCTGAACCATTTGATCCCGAAACCACCGAACCACCTGATCCTGAGACCACTGAACATTAAACATTCCAGGGTCATACTTGTACAGACGTGGTTTTGTATGAACCATGTGATCATGAAATCTCTGAAGCGTCTGATCTTGAGACTACTGAACTTTCCTGTCCCGATACCACTTCACCATCTGATCCTGGGACCACTGAACCATCTAGTCCCGAAACCAGTATTCAGGCAACAGGGTTACGTCAACGTGATAAACAGGTGTATCTACAACGTAACCGTTTTTATCCTGAGATAACTAAACCTTCTGATCCCGACCCCATTGACCCAGCTGTACCTGAGACCACTACACCACTTGATACTCAGACAAATGAACTATTGTTCCTGCGATTTTCCCGAGACCAATATGCATGACCAGAGACACAATCAGACTGAAGTGGTGTAATAAAGTTCTAAATAAGTGGACACACACACACACACAACACACACACACACACACACACACACACACACACACACACCTGTTTTAAATATGCCGAGGAAGAACTCGTGTGCTACAAACATGGCGATCATGAGCCAGTAGGGTGAACACAGTGGAATCACAGCTACAGTCAGTCCGTGCCCGGCCATCGAGATGAACAGCGACAGGTACTTATTGAACCGGTCATAGATGGCTCCACCAGCAACGGCTCCAACCAGGGAGCCAGTGGCAGCAGCAGTGAAAAAGGCGGAGCCTTGAGACAAGTCCGTCCCCGTGATAATCTGTAAGTCCAACAGTGATGGCCCTCTCTGACCGTTGACCCAACCCTGAAATCAGAAGAGGTTTTATACAGTGATCGAAATGGATCCTTATACAAGGCCTTGAGAAGGCTGATAGGAATCTGCTGAGGTACTGGGGTGAGCTGGAGGTCCTATAGTGATACCCCCTATGCCCCTAGATCTAACGCTGAAATCAGAAGATGGTTCATACAGTGATCGAAATGGATCCTTCAAAGGGCTGATAGGAATCTGCTGATGCCCCTAGATCCAACTCTGAAATCAGAAGATGGTTCATACAGTAATCGCAATACATTGTGATAAAGGCAGGTGATCATCCTGTTTTACAGGGTGCTTAATTAAGTTCCATGTGTGTAGATTAACTTGCGGCAAATGAATGTAGCATGTTCTGCACGTCATGCTCTGCTGAACACATGATAAAAAAACATGATTCAATCCGTACTGATTATATAGAACATGGTCAGTACAGTACATACATCACATCGCGATTATAACATGGGTGACTACCACAGGCGTACGCATGTTAAGAGTGAGTGAATGAGTGAGTTTAGCTTTACGCCGCACTCAGCAATATTCCAGCTATATGGCGGCGGTCTGTAAATAATCGAGTCAGGACCAGACAATCTAGTGATCAACAGCATGAGCATCGATCGGCGCACTTGGGAACCGATGACATGTGTCAACCAAGTCAGCGAGCCTGACCACGCGATCCCGTTAGTCGCCTCTTACCATGTTAAGAGTGAACAGAACACCCTATAGTGATTATTACACGGTACATCATGTATATTAAGATCTCTCCTAATAGAATCTCCACGATCTCCATTATGGTTGTCTAGCTTTGGTGACTAGTGGTCTATAGCTCGTATTTTAATGGCATTATATGTAATATTGCTCTTTGTGTTGAATAAAGTCTTTCATCATTTGAAATGGTTAGACTCAAATTGAGATAACTATCTAATGTTTTACTGTCTTTTGTGACGTATGTCTTATAGTTAAACCAATTTTTTTCTCGTCACTATATGGCTGAAATATTGCCGATGTGACGTTAAACTTTAAATCTCTCACTCACTCATCATAGAATGTGCCTGTAAATATCTGCATAATATGTGCATAACCGCTTGCTTTTGAAATTGACGTGATGATTATCAAATGAGATTATTGAAGGCTCTGTCAAGGAGGTTGAGGAACCGTAAACATATTGTTTGCTTCATCAAAAACATCACCAATATGATCTGTTGGTTATCATGTTATATTTTGTCTTTCCTGTTTCGAATTCATGTATACTCTCCCAAAAAAGAAACGCATATAGGAATTTCAACTGTATTTTTATGTTTATTTTGAAACATCTTGTAGGCTTTATGAGTCAATGAAATATAGCGAAATTGCACACTGGGAATGCAGACTTATCCGTCTTTGGCACCAACTCGAGGAAAGTCAGTTTGAGTGTCACATGGAGCCGTGTGGTGGCGCTGAAGTCAATACCTCGTGTGACCACCGTGGGCATCCAGAACTGCACGGCATCGCCTCGGCATCGAACGGATAAGTCTCAGAATCTCGTGTTGCCCAATCGCAGCCCACTCTGCCTGTAGTGCCTGTGCGAGTTGCTGAAGTGTCTGGGGCTGAGGATAACGGCGTGGCACCCGTCTGTCCAGGGCATCCCACAGATGTTCGATCAGGTTTAAGTTCGGTGATCTTGAGGGCCAGGGGAGCACATTGACGTTGTGGTTCTGGAGGAAGTCTCTAGTGTGACATGCTGTGTGGGGCCTGGCATTGTCCTGTTGAAACAACTCCCTCTGGCGATCAATAATTGGAAGGAGGTGTGGGCGTAGGATTTCGTCACAGTACCGTTGAGCTGTCAGGTTGCCCTGGATCATCACCAAATCACTTCTCCTACGGCAGGTGAACCCTCCCCACATCATAACACTTCCCGAATCTAGTCACCTGGGGAACGCAATCGTCGGCGAAACGTTCACGTTGACGTCTGTACACCCGCATTCTTCCATCGCGTCGTTCCTATAGGAATCGTGATTCATCACTGAACATTTTACGCCAATTCGGTAGGTTCCAGGCCTGAACGTTGGTGCACCATTGAACTCGATGTCGACGATGTTTTTGTCGAAGCACAGGGCCAAAATAAGGTCTTCTGGCACGTAAACCAGCCTCTCTCAACCTGTTCCTGACGGTCTGTGCAGAAAGCCTCCTCAATCCGGGTATTTGTCGAGCGGTACTGGTCGCCGTAGCTTTTCGATGACGCAGGTGATGTACCCGGATGTAGGGATCCTGCGCCGCAGTGGTCGCTCGAGGTCGCCCACTACGAGGGGCATCTGCTACCGAATTCTGCCGGCGATATTTCTCCCAGAGCCGTGAAATGGTGCTTTGGTGAACATTCATGCGTCGGGCAACTGCACGTAGAGACTGGCCAGCTTCAAGCCAAGCAATGGCGATATGACGGTTGGCTTCACTTAGACGTGGCATTTTGCGTTCGTCAACAATATTCCAAATACAGTGAATAATCGACAGACAGCGATCAACCTTTTATACCCATCATTGAGACTATCTGATCCCCAACTTCCACGTGCATTGCATGTGAATTGTGTATTCTGTGACACTACACGACGAAATTGAAAATCATGCTGTTAAATACGGGTATTTTACGGATTGTGCGTTTCGTTGTGATGTTTCAAAACATAAACACCATAGGACTCATAAACAGAGCAAAACCTTTTGTAAAATGAATCACGTTTTAATTCATTGCTACATGAAATTGCTATTTGCATGATGCGTTTCTTTTTTGGGAGAGTATATTAACATCATTCTGTGCAGTTTGTATTTTACTGTAATGAAATTATTATCAAATATCTCCTATCTATTGTACAGAGTAAATTTCATCAAATTAATATGAAACAGTTCAATGAAATTTTCATAATTGAGTTTTCTGAATGAATGAACATTTGTCATGTGGAGGTATCACTCGGGTGATTTTGTTTTGATGTTTTGAAAATTATTCACATCTATATTTTACCATGCAGTCTCTGATATATGATTTCGAATTATTTTCTAAACAACATTTGAAATACGCCTTTGCTATTTGATTACAAGAATAACAGAGTTAATTACAAGATATTGGATCAAAACTAGTATAAATGAGAATTTCAAAAACTAAATCTTGCCAAAGAGAAGCTAAGTCATGCAATTCTGTGTTTAGTCAGATGGAGTTTGGGACAATATGTTTGCCTACATATGGATCTTTATGTCAACCCGTGAAGTTCCGGGTTAGAATTGATCTTCAGTAACCCATGCTTGTCGTAAGAGGGGACTAATGGGATCGGGTGGTCAGGTTCGCTGACTTGATTGACAATTTCGTAGATCGATGACCATTCTATTTATCACTGAATTGTCTGGTCCAGACTCAGAATATTGCTGAGTGCGGAGTAAAACTAAATTCACTCACTCACTTACTCGCTCACTCTTTATGTCGCAGACTAAACCAAATGGGGAGAAAACTGAGGCCATTGGAATTTGATTTATTACTTAAATCGAAGTACATCATATTTTCAAATTTTTCACTTACAATTTAATATTAATATAGTTTTGATGTAAAAAAGTGATGTTTCCTTCTTTCAACTAAGGAAGCTATAGTATTCCCGTCTCCTTTACACATCAATATAAGTACTTGAATTGACCAATTATCTCACTTCCAAGCTTTTGATGGAATACATTTAAGGCATACGTAATCAGAACGGATTGAATCATGTTGATTTTAGTTTGGACTGTTAATTCGTAAACCACGTCCTTTTGGAGTGTACAGACAATGTCATTTAGTAATTTTTTACACATGAGACAAGCGAAAATTAAACACATAAACTGTTGGCGCATAAATATTGACACAGAACCGGACAATCCGCTGATTAATGGCACGTTGTCACACGATTTGTCAGGTCATCAAAACATACATCCATGTGGTCGATAGAGTCGGTGGGGTAGCCTAGTGGTTAAAGCGTTCGCTCGTCACGCCGAAGTCCCGGGTTCGATTCCCCACGTGGGTACAATGTGTAAAGCCCATTTCTGGTGTCCCCCGCTGTGATATTGCTGGAATATTGCTAAAAGCGGCATAAAACTAAACTTACTCACTCATGTGGTCGTTATTTCCGGCCACCAAGTATAGGTTGCTATGGACGCTACTCAGCTACGTGAATCACGCGAGTTCAGACAAGGTGTGACTTTTGAGTCATGATCACGGGGCCAGATACGACGACCTCCACAGTAACAGTGAAATAGGGTAATTAACGTAACCATGTTGCCGGTATATCACTCTTGCTTCGGCAACATGCTGACCTTACAAGTGTCACAGCTAGTGCTCAGCTAGTGCTGTAACTATCGATGGATTGCAATTGTTGAGTCTCTGATAGCAATTAATCGATGGTAGAACGAAAAACTGTCGATGCATCGATAGTATGTGTGACTATCGATAATTTAGTAATTGACTTCCGTTGATAAATGCACAGCGCAAAATACAGGAAGTACCAGATTTGTTCACTTTGATTTAGAGTTATCCGCCCCTGCTATGTCTTAAACATGGAGACAAACACGGCATGCGACTCGGAGTTATAATAAGTTATGTTGTAACAGTTTACTTGATCAAGTTTCTCGTCACTTATTAAAAGAGACTGAAACTACTTCAACTTGTTTTTATTTCATATAAACTGTACATTCTTTTGGGAAATGACTTCAAATGAGACAAGTCATGGAGAAAAAAACTATTGCAATAGTAGGTAGCAATAGACTGTCGGAACCATATGTTGCAATAGACTATCGCTATCGCAATAGTTGTTTCCCTATCAATAGTCACCCCTAGTAACAACCGAGTGTATTTATTTATCATTTATTATCATTGGATATTTATACAGCGCACATATCCACGCACTAGTGCATGCTCAAGGCGCTGGTATTTTTTCCCTCGATCATTGGATGTCAATCTCGACGGCACATCTTATTATCAATATCAACTCCCTGGGGATCATACAACTCTTGCTGCCACAAGGCGCACCGAGTTATTACGGCTTTCCCATCCTTACGAGGTACCCGGTTTTCGCATCCTTACGAGGTACCCGGTTTTCCCATCCTTACGAGGTACCCGGTTTTCGCATCCTTACGAGGTACCCATTCACAGCTGGGTGGACTGAGACACATAGTTACCGTACTTTGTCCAAGTTCACTGCACGTTGCTGTACCCGCAACTAGGTGTTTGCACGTATTCATGTGGCCACCATCCGATCATATACCAACGGATTCGTGGGTTCTTTTAAGTGCACAGGGTTGTGTACTGTACACTAGGGGGTTGTGACAATACTGAAAGAGTCTGCACACAAAGTTGACTCCAAGGTTTTTAAACCCGGTCACAGGTGGGCTCGATCCCGACACCTCAACCTCGCTGGATCACTAGCCAGCACGCCCCCCGCGCCCTATATTTTATGAGACGCTGCCTGACTGTTAAGTGATATGTGTCGCATTCCTTCTGTATCCGGGTTCATTTCCACTGCTTAACATAGTGACTATGGAATCTCAAGAGAGACATGTCGGCATTGACGTGTTGTTGCACTTATTAAACAATACCAGAAGCAATATCATTCATTCATTCATCATGACAAAGTGACAATGCGACATTTTACCAATTTCTGAGTTATGAAAATGAATTTAGGATTTTACCCCGTGTGACAATCATAAAATGTGAAAATATCCCTTCAAGCCTTCCATAGTGAACTGTGAGTGAATGAGTGAATTTAGTTTTACGCCGCTTTAGTAATATTCCAGCAATAACACGGCGGGGGACACCAGAAATGGGCTTCACACATTGTACCCATGTGGGGAATCGAACCTGGGTCTTTGGCCTGGCGGGCGAACGCTTTAACTACTAGGCTACTCCATCGCCCCTATAGTCAACTGTGTCCCAGACGTATACATTAAGGTAGATATAAACTCACCGGTCAGTTTAGTAACATGTCCTTCACATACCACTTGCTGTTAACGTGGTTTTGAAAAAGATTTCATAACCAAAAGAGAGCGATTAAACCTTTTCTACATCTTTAACCTATCCCTGCTAAAAGATATGGATTACATAATTCTGACTAGATCATGAACTTGTGCTTTTGTTTGTTTAAAGACGTACTCAACAATATTTCAGCTGTGCTATGCCGTTCAATTAATAATAATAAATAATACATAATGTAGTTGATCCACTCATTGGCTACATGAGTTCTGACGACGGAGAATGTGTTTATGAATGACTATTACGTGTTGATGATACCAGGTGTGTGCGGCAAGGAGAGCGTATCTTGCCCCTCCTGTTGTACCACTCATAAACAGATGCAAATGCTGGTAGTTTATTCATCTACAAAACTGCGGAACGTATGGTACTAGTCAAACGAAATAATTACATTGGACATCATTTTTGTCACTGATGCGTCATTTAAAAACACCAAACCATATTTTCTCTATCAGATGACGTTAGTTAATCGTGACTGGGACATTGTAAACGTTTGCGAACTAAGAAAATGGAAATGGCCGTGAATCTTTAGAATCTAGCTAGATAGTTCCCCTGAGAGGGCATATAAGCCCACATCATTCAAAGAATATTCATATATATCACCGTTTTAATTGTAATATATTAGTACATTTTAGACTGACTGACTGACTGACTGAGTTTAGTTTTACGCCGCTTTTAGCAATATTCCAGCAACATCACGGCGGGGGACACCAGAAATGGGCTTCACACATTGTGCCCATGTGGGGATTCGAACCCGGGTCTTCGGCGTGACGAGCCAACGCTTTAACCATTAGGCTACCCCACCGCCCCCGTACTAACATCGCATGCAATCCCGAAGCACTTCAGGGCTGTTATAAATCCTGCTGGGTAGCCGTGCAGGAAGCAAAAGTCCCCACGATCCCTAGTATGGTGGCCTCACATTAGTTGCTAATCTCTAGCTCACTTCTATCATGTATTTGTCAATAAATAGTTAAATATTTTAATGTTCTCAAACTAGTTTTAATAATATATGTAATAGTCGAGTAGTTATACTGTCTTTTGAAGACAGCTATATATAGTATACATAATCCACATACACATAGAACTATTTGAAATTAGTCAGGCCTCTGATTATTGAGACATGTTTTTACCAGAACCGGCAGAAAAACAAAACTAATTCCTACTATTACTACGTAGCTTTCAGCATTCCGACTTGGAGCCCTAGTATATATCCTATGGCCACTAGTATGGTGATCTACCTTCAGTTGTTAGCGACCTATAGCCTGTTTTTATGTTGTATTGTCTTCGTAAATAAAATAGTTTTAGACTTCAATGCTAGTTTTACACACCATCTGTGATACTCCAGTTATTTTAGAGTCCTTCGATGACTGAATATTTAACAACTTATATTTATTGTGTATGCAAAACCTTTCTCGTCGCTATATAGCTGAAATATTGCCAAGATGAAGTTAAATTTTAACTCACTCCCTCACCTAGTATATATCAAGCTGCAAGACTACAGCCGTATCTCTCGTAAAAGTATTATGTCATAGCGTTATGTCAAGGTCATTCGATAAGGACGGTAAACAGCTTATATTGATTTCCTGTCCCACTGATTACAATTGTAATACATGCTTAAACATACCTTGGTCTATCGAGTTTTGGAGTATATGTAGAGCACAAAATAACGAAGGCTATTGCTCCTTTACCATAAAACAATACAAGTATTTTACATATACACAATTTCACTAGTTGAACAATCACGACTGATGTGGATCAATAACTGTCTCCGAGGGCCATGTGGCTGCGGAAGGCGCTGTCAGTTGCCTCGTTTAAACATGACGAGACTACGTACACCATGACCCAGAATGACAATTACAGACAGCCAAGGTCCAGTTAAGGTATCCAGCTTTATATATTTTCATGATTTGAAATTGAAAATGTAAAATTTACCTCTTAATTATGATACATGAGCGCCCTGTCATATCGGCAAATATCAACATCAGGGTGGTATGTCCTTCTAATTCGTGTCAGATGTGATCACGGCATCACCAGCAGTCGTACATTTTGCCTATACCGGGTTATTGAAAAGGTTTTAAGTTTCTAAAATCAACTTGTGTGTGTAATTTGAATTTGTGTGCAACAGCTTCACTCACCGACATGAAGTTGCCGAATAAAAGGCATGCCGTGTATAGAAATTTCTTCTTGTAAAGTGTGGACCTCAGCTTGTTTGCCCATCGTCGACGAGTGTGGTCCAACTCTTCTTCCGAAGCCAGCGACCCAACAGTTGCACTTGTCTCCATGTCCCCTCCCAAACTATTACCTCGCGATGTCAAGAACACGCTTCACAACAACGCGGGAAGTGACACACATTTATAGTTCAGTGAGGCTCTGGACGTGGGACCTGAATGGTTAAAATATGCATTACACGTGGGTGGAGCGCAGTTTCGAATGACGGAAAAACTTGTTGTAATTTGTGGTATGTATAAACATATACCATGACTATATTAGTAATTTTTTGTTTTCGAAATAAAACGGGACTCACAAAATGCTTTCATTTTGGTTCTCCTTGTAACATTATTCAGTGCTGCATGAAAGATTAGGGTGGCTGACATACATTTCAAATTACAAGTCACAGGCCACCCCCGATACATGGACCATGGCGTAAGGAGTAATGGGCTTCACATACTGTGCGAACTCTTTAAACCCCCAGGCTACCCCACGCCCCAATGGCGGAAGGAGGCCAACTACCTTGTTTACGGAACAGCAGCAAACTACCACTGTTTAGCTGGCATGGTCTAGTGATTTTACATTGGCTAATTGAAAACAGGGTATAACTGCCGGCGCTCGACCTTCGAGAGCTGAACCATCTGGGGTAGATAACGACACAGGTGTGTAGGAAGCTGGCCTCTACAGAATGCTGGTCACTGTACTCATATGTTTTGTTTCCAAGTCCAATGTGGCTGTAAACATGCTACAAATAACTCTTGGCAACCTAGACTGAATTATGCTTTCACTCCTGCAGAAGTTGTGCCACATGCTTTACAGAGATGGCAAACGTTACATTTAAGCGGTGATATATGGATCTGTATTACATGAATATTGATGGACGTATTCAATATGCCGCTGATGATAAATACTTGGTGAATGAATTAAAAACCAAGTGGATGTGTTACCTCACATAAATGCAATATGTAAAGGAAACTGGTGTATTGCTGTTGGTAGATAAAAAAATGTAGTCGTACAAAGTGAACACAGACAGCGAGCATACCACGACTCACAAATCGTTACGTGAGCAATGCGTAGGTTTAAACAATCCGCTGCAGCAGTTGCCTGGCCCTGGGCTGTAGCCTTCAGACATTCTACCATGACATTTAAGTATGTTCGTTTTTGATTCGCTGTTACTAACACATTAGAAGTGAAAAAAATTCAATAACCACTTCTGAGAGCCGGTTCACTGCGCGTAGTGTCAAAACACTACGCATGGGTAATGAGTGCATATTTAAACCGCGTTTTATTCATGGTGCATATGTCATGGTAGAATGGAGATAATCCTATTGTGTTTACATTTTGGATGTGATTATAGTTGGTTGGACGCTACTAAATATCATTTAAAACCGCGTGATGTTTTAAATGAAACATTTAGCATCGTTCAAGCAACTATAATCACTTCCAAAATGTAAACAAAATAGGATTATCTCCTAAATACATAGTCTGAAGCCCGGTGTGCAGCAGATGGCACCGTTACAGATCTGTTGGTGACGTCACACCAAGATGACGTACACATTACGGCGTGCACAACAGACTGTAGTCTCCACTAGCAGACAGTTGGTCAGAGACAGCAGTGTCAGCACAGACCATCAGCACAGACCATCAGGAGTGGACTGGGTACCGAAGGTATCCGATCTAGACGAACATACACAGGACCTATCATCGAACTCAGCGTTTACGGTTAGGTCTGTAGAATTCCATCTTCAACCGGAGACAGTGCATCAGGATTGTCTTCAGTGAAAAATCTGTACAGGAAACACAGTTGAGTATATATGTTACGGATAGTACACACACACAGTTGAGCACAAGTTACGGATAGTACACATACACAGTTGAGCACAAGTTACGGATAGTACACATACACAGTTGAGCAGATGTTACGGATAGTACACATACACAGTTGAGCAGATGTTACGGATAGTACACACACACAGTTGAGCACAAGTTACGGATAGTACACATACACAGTTGAGCACAAGTTACGGATAGTACACACACACAGTTGAACAGATGTTACGGATAGTACACATACACAGTTGAGCAGATCTTACGGATAGTACACATACACAGTTGAGCACAAGTTACGGATAGTACACATACACAGTTGAGCACAAGTTACGGATAGTACACATACACAGTTGAGCAGATGTTACGGATAGTACACACACACAGTTGAGCACAAGTTACGGATAGTACACATACACAGTTGAGCAGATCTTACGGATAGTTCACACACAGTTGAGCAGATGTTACGGATAGTACACATACACACAGTTGAGCACAAGTTACGGATAGTACACATACACAGTTGAGCAGATCTTACGGATAGTACACACACAGTTGAGCAGATGTTACGGATGGTACACACACAGTTGAGCACAAGTTACGGATAGTACACATGCACAGTTGAGCACAAGTTACGGATAGTACACACACACAGTTGAACAGATGTTACGGATAGTACACACACACAGTTGAGCAGATATTACGGATAGTACACATACACAGTTGAGCACAAGTTACGGATAGTACACACACACAGTTGAGCACAAGTTACGGATAGTACACATACACAGTTGAGCAGATCTTACGGATAGTACACACACACAGTTGAGCAGATGTTACGGATAGTACACACACACAGTTGAGCAGATCTTACGGATAGTTCACACACACAGTTGAGCAGATGTTACGGATAGTACACACACACAGTTTAGCAGATGTTACGGATAGTACACACACAGTTGAGCAGATGTTACGGATAGTACACACACACAGTTGAGCACAAGTTACGGATAGTACACATACACAGTTGAGCAGATGTTACGGATAGTACACACACACAGTTGAGCAGATGTTACGGATAGTACACACACACAGTTGAGCACAAGTTACGGATAGTACACATACACAGTTGAGCAGATGTTACGGATAGTACACACACAGTTGAGCAGATGTTACGGATAGTACACACACACAGTTGAGCACAAGTTACGGATAGTACACATACACAGTTGAGCAGATGTTACGGATAGTACACACACACACAGTTGAGCAGATGTTACGGATAGTACACACACACACAGTTGAGCAGATGTTACGGATAGTACACACACACAGTTGAGCACAAGTTACGATAGTACACATACACAGTTGAGCAGATGTTACGGATAGTACACACACACAGTTGAGCACAAGTTACGGATAGTACACATACACAGTTGAGCACAAGTTACGGATAGTACACATACACAGTTGAGCAGATGTAACGGACAGTACACACACACAGTTGAGCACAAGTTACGGATAGTACACATACACAGTTGAGGCACAAGTTACGGATAGTACACACACACAGTTGAACAGATGTTACGGATGGTACACATACACAGTTGAGCAGATATTACGGATAGTACACATACACAGTTGAGCACAAGTTACGGATAGTACACACACACAGTTGAGCACAAGTTACGGATAGTACACACACACAGTTGAGCAGATGTTACGGATAGTACACACACACAGTTGAGCACAAGTTACGGATAGTACACATACACAGTTGAGCAGATCTTACGGATAGTACACACACACACAGTTGAGCAGATGTTACGGATAGTACACATACACAGTTGAGCAGATGTTACGGATAGTACACATACACAGTTGAGCAGATGTTACGGATAGTACACACACACAGTTGAGCACAAGTTACGGATAGTACACATACACAGTTGAGCACAAGTTACGGATAGTACACATACACAGTTGAGCAGATGTTACGGATAGTACACACACACAGTTGAGCAGATGTTACGGATAGTACACACACACAGTTGAGCACAAGTTACGGATAGTACACATACACAGTTGAGCAGATGTTACGGATAGTACACACACAGTTGAGCAGATGTTACGGATAGTACACACACAGTTGAGCACAAGTTACGGAGTACACATACACAGTTGAGCAGATGTTACGGATAGTACACACACACAGTTGAGCAGATGTTACGGATAGTACACATACACAGTTGAGCAGATGTTACGGATAGTACACACACAGTTGAGCACAAGTTACGGATAGTACACATACACAGTTGAGCAGATGTTACGGATAGTACACACACAGTTGAGCAGATGTTACGGATAGTACACACACACAGTTGAGCACAAGTTACGGATAGTACACATACACAGTTGAGCAGATGTTACGGATAGTACACATACACAGTTGAGCAGATGTTACGGATAGTACACACACACAGTTGAGCAGCGGATAGTACACACACACAGTTGAGCACAAGTTACGGATAGTACACATACACAGTTGAGCAGATGTTACGGATAGTACACACACACAGTTGAGCAGATGTTACGGATAGTACACACACACAGTTGAGCACAAGTTACGGATAGTACACATACACAGTTGAGCACAAGTTACGGATAGTACACATACACAGTTGAGCAGATGTTACGGATAGTACACATACACAGTTGAGCAGATGTTACGGATAGTACACACAGTTCAACGGATGGTTTAACCTTATGCAGTCCGAGCACCTGATCGCTTTGATAATTCACTTAATCAATAGTAAATGAGATAATGAGCGTTACCAAAGTTAAGTACACTCCTGAAGTAAGAGAAACACATAACGTACGCAATGCGTTTTTGTTTGCATTTGAATGTAATTTTTTCTTAATAACAATAAGATTGGGAATCTCACATGGTTACCCTTGTCTCGGCAGGGCAAGCACATGTTTTGAAACATATCCAATTTCAAAAGCCTTACCTTTAACGTAATAAGTGAGTGAGTTAGGAATACGGCGCTTATAGCAATTTTGCAGCAATATCACGGCGGGGGAAACCACAAATGGGCTTCACACACTGTACCCATGTGGGGAATAGAACCCGGGTATTCCGCGTGAGGAGCGAACGCTTTAACCACTTGACTACCCCACCGCCTCTTTTATGTAATGTAATATAGTGAAACTGACGCGATTACATTAACGAATTGTACATTGTAGACCAGATACAGTTATGGGTTGATCGCAAAGAGGTACTTAACTTTTAAATCTAAGCACAAACTTGCGATGACAAACGAGGAGGTAAAAAGACTATATGCACAGTCTGCACTTGATGAGCCTGGTGGAAATCCGTGGCACTGTCTCCACAAGTCATTATACTCCTTTCATAATACGAAGCTTATTGATGGATATTATCATTACAAATGGTATACAGTAATGCCAGCGCTCATAA